GTGAGGTCCGCTGAAGTGACCCTCCCCCCACGTACTCATAGGAGGGAACTATGTACAGGGTCTATTCCTGAGCCCCAAAACCCCTCAGGGGGGGGGGGGGGGGGGGGAGGGACCTCTAGACAAGTGTTCTGTCACTGAGCCACACCCTCAGCCCCTCATTGGAGGGTTCTAGGCAGGTGCTGTTCCATTGAGGCAAGCTCTCATTTACTTGTTGGAAGATTCTAGGCAGGTGCTCCACCACCCAGCCAGTCATAGAGTCTTGGGATAGTCACCTGATGGCACCCAGTCAGTCACCCTGGGGTCCCCAAGATGGGGAGCCTGAAACAGTAGCAACCTTACACCTCGCCTCATACCCACAAGCCCTGGGTACAGTTATGGAAGACACAAGAGACCCTCAGCACAGAGGAGCGAAGAGAGGGAATTTGGTGCTCCCCTTTCTAAAGCCAGTGATAGTAATCTTGGATTTGGCCCTGTTTCGTGTTTGTGATGTGCATGTGTGTATATGTGTTTGCATGTGTGGAGGCACATGTATACATGTACATATGGAGGCCAGAGGTTGATGCTGGGTGTGTTCCTCAGTGGGTCTCCACCTTCTATATTGAGGCAGTCTCTTACTTGAACCTAGAGCTCTCTGATTCAGCTAGTCTATCTCAGCAGCTTGCTCTGGGGTTCCCATCTCTGCCTTCTTAGTGCTGGGATTGCAGCAGCCACCATACATGCCCAGCATTCACATGGTCTTTACTCTTTTTGATTATTTATTTACTTATTTATTTAATTTATTTTATATGTATGAGTGTTTTGCCTGCATATATGTAAGTGCACCCGCCATGTCCTAGAGGCCAGAAAAAGGTATTGGATCCCCTAGAACTGAAGTTAAGAACAGTTCTTAGATGCCATGTGGGTGTTGGAAACCGAACCTGTGTCCTCTGCTAGAGCAGCTAGTACTCTTAACCACTGAGCCATCTCTCCAGTTCCATTTTTGTTCACTTTTGAAGGAATTTCACTATTACTTACACTGGTTTCAGACTCCTGGACTCAAGAGTGCCCCCTGTGGCTGCCTCTGGAGTAGCTGGGTGAGTGTGCTACCATGCCTGGTGAAGATGTGGGACTAGATGAGTAATAGTCTGCATACAAGAGGTTTGTGGAGGGGCCAGGCTAAGTTGGCTTTTCCGAGGAACCACCAACTTTCCATAGTGTGCCAACAGGGACAGTGGGATAATGGCCATGGAAGGGTTGGGCTTCAGCTAGACTGGGCTGGATATTTATTTTCCTGATTAGAAAAGGACCAGAGTAAGGTCTAGGAAGATGACTCAGACTGTAAAAGTGCTTGCTGTGCAAGCATGAGGTCCTGAGTTCTATACTCAACATCCATGTAAGAGGTTGAGTATGGTGAAGTAGCCTTGATCCAGCACTGGAGAGGCAGAGAAAGGCAGATCCTTGGGGCTCTCTGGCTAGCCAACGTAGACTACTTGGTGATCCTCAGGACCTGCTAAGAAACAATGACCACACACACAGCTCCTGAGGAGTAGTGCCCAAGGTTAACCTCTGGGCTCCACACTCAAATGCACATATACACACAAGAAAAGGTCCAGCCATGGGTGGTGGTACACACCTTTAGTCCTAGGACTCAGGAGGCAGGCAGGTAGATCTCTGTGAGTTCAAGGCTAGCCTGGTCTACATAGGCCTCAGCTTCCACCTTGTTTGAGACAGTGGGATAGGCCAACCAGTGCTGCATAGTGACACCCTGTCTCAATAAAACAAAACCAAAAAAGGGGAAATGGGGTAGGGGGAGAACACCAGAGGAAACAGGGAATTTAGTTCAGTTTAATAAAGCACTTTTCTAGCATATTTGAATCAGCCCTGGGTTCCATCCCTGTCATCATATAAAAGTAGGTGTTGTGACACAGGCAGGCTTGTGATCTCAGTTCTTGGGAGGTAGAGGCAGGAGGATCACAACTTTCAGGTCATCCTTGACTGCATAAGGAGTTTGAGACCAGCCTGAGCTGCAGAAGGCCTTGCCTCAAAAACAAATAAAAAGGCACCAGAGAAGGCAAGCACAGTGGCCCAGGACTGTAAGCCCAGCACTTGGGAGACTGAGGCAGGAAAATTACAAGTTCTAGGTCACAAGACCCTATATCTAAATCAAATGCCTCCTTTGCATCCCCCTCTCTTCTTATTTCTGAGAAAGGGTTGCCAGGCCACTCTCTGCCTCAAGTACCACCTCAATGGATTTTATTGGACCAGACATGTTTTCATTCCTGTGGATGAATCTAAGCCCCTGGGCGCAAATCTATTCAGAGACTACGGGGAGGGAGTTGGGAGGAGTTGTGCTTTGGAGAACAGACGGCCCTGGGAGCGAATTGCTCCAATCCTCATAGTTAATGACCTCAAGGACTTCACTTGTCTCTC